GTTTACTGCATTACCGGAATGGTACGTGGAGGATATAGCGGAATTCTTGTTGTTCACGCTCCAGTAAGTTCTCGTTACACGCACACACACGCACGCACGCGCGCGCGCACACACACACACACACACGCACACACACACACACACACGCACGCACACACACAAAATTAAATCTTATAATTATACAATATGACGTACGCTTATTAATAATTATAATTCCGCATGTAGATTCTGTCCTGGAGTAGTGGTAAGTAATGTGGATAATTCGCTTATCACGTGGTTACTGGTCGTCGTGTGTACCCCACATTGTATACGAAATCCGTATCTAATCGCAAAAATCATCGAGGTCCTCTTTGTGATAAATCCTAGCTTTCAGGTAAATTTGTTAGGAAAATACTTATTGTTAAATTATATTCTTCTATATTATTGTGTCAACAGTAACCATAACCTTCTACAGGGAAGAACGGAGACTCTCCACGATAAAGTCATGGCACATCCTATATCCAAAACACTTTTGGCATCGTATCTCATGAAGTTTTACACCGACGTTGAAACTACTGGCTCTAGTTCCGAGTTTTATGATAAATTTTCAATACGTTATCACATAAGTATAATCTTGAAATCAATGTGGGATAGTCCGGTACATCGAGCGTCTATCGTCAATGAAAGCAATAATGGCAAGCAATTTGTCAAATTTATCAACATGTTAATGAACGACACTACTTTTCTACTTGACGAGAGTTTGGAATCTCTGAAGCGCATACACGAGGTGCAGGAACTCATGTCGGACACTAGCGCGTGGAGTGCACTCTCTCAAGAGCAACAGCAATCGAGGACGAGGCAACTGGCAGCAGACGAGAGACAGGCCAAGTCTTATCTTACACTAGCCAAGGAAACAGTTGCCATGTTCCACTATCTGACGGTCGACATTAAGGAGCCGTTCCTACGACCGGAATTAGTCGGGCGATTGTGTGCCATGCTAAATTTCAATTTGCAACAATTGTGCGGACCTAAGTGCAACAATCTGAGAGTGAGAACACAGCAAAAATACGGGTGGCAACCAAGGACGTTACTTAGCCAATTGGTTGATATATATTTGCATCTTGACTGTGATAATTTCGCGGCTGCTTTAGCCAGTGACGAAGTTAGTGTCCCTTCCACTCGTCATTCAGATATTTCATTAAATATATAAATTAATAACAAAAATTGTATATTTTCTTTTCCAGCGTTCGTTCTGTAAGGAATTATTCGCGGACGCTGCAAGCAGGCTAGAAAAATCTGCGATCAAAACTACCACGGAAATTGAGAGATTCATAGCGCTCGCGGAACGTGCGGCGATAATCGCGAGAGATAATCGCGCGCGTGATGCAGACTACGGCGATGCTCCTGAGGAATTCCGAGATCCATTGATGGATACTCTTATGGAGGATCCAGTGAGACTACCATCTGGTATTGTTATGGACAAAGCAGTTATCATTAGACATTTACTCAATAGTGCCACGGATCCTTTCAGTCGGCAACCACTTAGCGAAGACATGCTTACGCCCAGTAAGTGCACATTTTCTTTTATTCGGTAAAATGAAGTTTTTCTTGGCCTAAATACATCTAACAAATAATAGCAGTGTTTCGTAGCAATGTATTTTTATATAGAATACATTCTATAAATATTTAATGCACGTATCACAATCAATCGTGCAGTTTTTTATTTAAAATATTTTTAATATTGAAATTAATATTTTTTTACATTTTAACTTTAAAATATAAGAATTGCCGAAAGATTGTATTATTCATATTTCCACGTATATAATTTTACAAAAATGTATAAAAATTTTATAAAAATGCATTAAACTGATGATTATTATTGACATTGCAGTGCTCGACTTGAAAGAAAGGATATCTGTATGGAAGCAACAAAAGAAAAGATCGACGAATATATAAACGGTGCTAATGTGATGAGAATTCTGCAAGTAAAAATATAGGAATAAAAAAAAATTTAGCATTCAATGTAAAGAAAGAGAACGAGAGCAAGAGAGGGGGGGAATAAGAGGATGGGTGGGAGAGGTGAGGGGAGGGAGGGAGGGAGGGGGAGAGAGAGATTAGCATACAATCTAACATAATTGTCAATATTGCACGATACATTCTATCAGGCAAATGCATCGATCCAGTGCAGTTGAGGAATATAGTGCAATGATCTCGCTATTGTGCAACAATTGCGCTCAATAAATTTACAGTTTTTATACAATAAAATATAAACTCAGACTGCAGCTAGCAAACTGCCAATATATTGCTCCAAACATACTTTAGAAAGTTGTAAATAATTACTGGCTACATGTCAGTATCCAAAATCACATTATTCATAAATAAGTAACATTACTTTTTACGTCTTTCGATGTATGTGGCAGCGGGTAAGTTTGAAGCATATCCCGCAAAAATATAATGTTAAATAGTATAAAACTAGTAATATTAATGACTACTATATACTTCCACGAACTCGACATTTACAAATAAAATTATTATTGACAAGAAATCTACATGTGCATAAGATTTATAATTCAATGATTTCAGCAGTACTATTTAAAGATGTTATATATAAAATTGTAATGTGTGTATATTATTTGTTGATCCTCAAAACGATAGTTGAAAGTATGGAAATTGTTTACAATAGTCAAATTCGTGGATTGCTTTGCATTCTTTTGCTAAAGATGCAAAAACATATCACGCTCTATACGTATGATAATTCAGATGTTATTTTTGGCTTTATTTTGTAAAGAAGATAAAATGTACATGTTTTTTTTACAGATAAATGCTACATCATGTATATGTACTAGTTTGCAACATTTTGAGTTACACACTTTGCTTTTAATATGAATGTTATTTTACTTTGAATATAGTAGGACTCGAGGATTTTTATTGTTTATGTGACCTAACTGTCTTATCATAATTTTATTATATACATATATGCACAAAGGACATTTCCATTTATTAATTTCTATTAACAAAATAATGCATATATGTATGTGTGTGATTAAGTGTAAGTATTATATATACATACATTTATCTTTTCTCTATCAAATTATTTCTTTATCATTCATTAATTTATTTGCTTATTTTGTGCAATAAATATATATATATACATACGCGCGTGCGTGCGTGTGTGTGTGTGTGTGTGTGTGTGTGTGTGTGTGTGTAACATTCCAAAGAAATTACAATATTTAAAGAACGTTTGAATTGTGCTGCACTAAATTCTAAGCTGTTTACTGATAGAAGATTTAATATCTTGACTCATAATTGATTCATAATCTTACTTTTCAAAAGTAATAATTGCATTTATCCAGTGTCACATTTATTTTTACGATTATCATATTTTTACTTTAATAATGCCACACACTGATAACATTATGATAACATTAGAACACGTTCTGTCATTAAATGTAAATATAAATTTATATACATCATAGTATTAATTAAACAGATCATGATTTGAATATGCTGCACATACAAAAGTTTTATACTACATGATCAAAGTATAAAAATCATTATTATCCTATAAATTTCTAAAGAAGTCTAAAAAAAGGTAACTATTCAATGATAAAAGTTATATATCATTTGTCATACTTTTGTGCAATGTATCTATGTAGGAAGACAAAAGACTCGACATAAAATTTAGGAATTTTGAGAGTATTCATAACCAGGGTTACCAGATGAGGCGACATGTCATCTTTTAAGTGATTTGCAAATTTTGCAGTAGGCTTGTTCTTTTTAACTTCTTTGCACAGTTCATCTTTCCTTTCTTCTTTTCATTGGAGAAAAGAAAAGAAAAATTGAATTATGCAAGAAGTTTGGCTAAAAGGAAGAGGTCTATATAACAAGTCACCTTACAGGTGACATTGAACGATATGTCACCTACATCTGACAATCCTGTTCAGAACTACATTAGATAGCAGTCTTTTTTGGTATACTTTATGAAATAATTAAAGATGGACGCACACGCACACACACGCACGCACGCACGCACGCACACGCACACACACACACACACACACACACACACACACACACACACACGCACACACAGTTGGAGTATTTAATAATATATTAAAATACCTGCTATTTGTACATATAGATTCAAAAATAGTCTAATCATGAAGTTTGATATTGTTTTTTATATGTATATATTTGGGTATGTGTATGTATATACATTTGTATATGTGTATCTGTATATATATGTATGTATTAGAGATGCAAAATTACTATCAAATTCAATTTTACGATTACTTACAGTAAAATAGTAATTTATTGGTAATTTTGGTAAAATTTGTTGTTTCTTATGTTTCTTTAGTTTTATGCACAAATAGACTGTATTTTCGTATTTATGTATTGTATAAAATTATACAATCATTCAATAATCCTAATAGGAATCGCTGATAGAATAACAGGACTGTTGACTAAATCTAAACATACCCTATTGAAAAAAATTATGTCACAAAGTTACATAACAAAATCACGTAATTTGTAATAGTTTCGTAATTATTACATTAATATGTAGTATCAAAATAAAAATTTAAATTAAATAAAGTGTTTTTAAACTTTTTAACTTAATGACTAAATACTCTTATATCAAATTACTTTATTTTTATAATTTTTTTTAAATTACCATTTTATCAGCCTTCATAAATTACTGACTAATTTACAGTAGATTATCGAGTAAATTATCGTAAAATTTGGTCATTTTCATCTCTAGTATGTATATACATATGCATACATATACATATGTACTAAGCAATGTCTTTATTCATGGAAAATTCACTTCAAATAATATCTGTAAATACTAGGATTGATGTAAAGTATAAAAATAAACAAATTTATGTGAAATAAAAACATTTAATCGAAACATTAAAAAACCTATGATTCATCAATAAAAAAATTATATTTCTATCTTATATTTTCTTATCTTGAGAAATAAAAAAAAGATTATTAGGTTTTCATTCCTTTTTTTTTTAATTTTTTGTTTTTCTCATGTGATCATTCCATTTGTATAATCATATTCTAGATTCTGTCTCATGTGACTTGTTACCGAGAAATTCAAGCTATTATATATATTATAATTAGATATTGTTTCAACTTGTGTTGGCTGACGTCCTAACAAATAGTTTCATATTTTTCCTCTGATCCATAAGTTTAATTATTATTATGGAGGTTATAGGATCTTTTCATTCTTATATTTCTTCTTGACTTCCCCAATAGCTATTATAATCAATTTGACTTGTAGAATCATTTTATTCTGCTCTTAATATCCCATGAGTTGTTGGCGCTACATAAAATTGAATTATATTATAGCTATCAACATTTTGTCTATATTGAAAAGATTCTCATGTATATAAACATGCAAGGAGCCTTATAATAAATGCTACGAATTTCATCAAAGTTTTAGAGAAACTTGGTGCACACTTACGCTGAATATAACTTCCTTCGACAGTCCTTCTCATAGGACATGTACTGATATGTTCTTCAATCTCACTTTTACTCAAACGATGAGTTGCATTGTATGGGCAGATAACTTTGTAATCAGGAGGGAAATTCTATAAGAGAATTTCGCGTTCGTTTGTATATTTCTCAAAATGGATCATAGTACATAAAATTATATTGTCACCTTTTCGCATTTTACAAGGTGTCGCTGAAATTTCGAACTAGCTATACGATGATACTTGTTGTAAGGACAGTGAAGAACCTCGTCGTTATTGCTATTCATCTTCTGATGTCGTAAGTTATAACAATCGGCTGGTATAATATGTAAATAAAGATGAAAGGATATAAGTTAGATCCGTTGTTAAAAGCGTACGAATCAACGTCTCAACAATCAGACTTAAGCCGATCTGGAGTGCATGGCGGAAACAGGAAACGTGGAAATTTGGGGAAAGTGGCAAAAATCGAAAACGCAGAAAGACGCAAGAGTGTGGATGCGCAGTAGTAGGATGGCTCGATATTTTTAATCGCCATATTCCAGCTTCAGATATTGGACGAGTTCAAAACGACAAAGCGGCTAGGCATGTTTATCGAGCGATTGAATATGATTGGTTGGATCTGTAAGTGATAACCAATTATGTGCATTTGCTCGGCGAGCAGGCTAACCGCTATGTCAACTTGAACGCGCCCATTGGTCGCGTTCAGAGCAGACACAAGACAACAAGACACAACTGGCCTAGTTTCCACCGAGGGTTTTCGAACCGAGTCAGAATGCAAGAACTAACCAACTACAGTCACAGTATATACAGTAGCGTAACTCTCACGATTTCACCATGGATAAAAATGAACTGCAAATGCGCGAGCGAGGTATGTAACCAATCAAGGCACTTATATTCCATCTCGCTTCTTCTCTTTATTGTCGCTGTCTGTCTGCCTAACCTAACCTAACCATTGAAATGTCCATATAAGGGATTTAATTAGCCATTTAACGGAAAGTGACAGTTTTGATTAATTATAACTGATTAGTTTTCTCTGTTGAATGCAACCATGATCAATTAGTTAACGTAATGGGTATGTTTCAGCGGAACACAACAGTTTTGAAACCTTTTTTATGATTGTGTGCTAAGATAGAATCCACCAATCCTCTAATCTAAAAGTATAATACAATCAGCGCAAAGAAAACTTCCAACATTTGCGAAATAAACGCTGAACGCAGTCATTTTTTATTCGTTTTTTTAAAATAACATGTAACAGGTTTAATATTGTTGTGATTTGAGATATAGTAAATTGAATTAGTCGAATAACTGGATTTTATCTGACAAATATAAGAAATTCAAAAAATAAATTTAACACCGTTTTTTTTAACAGTAAAGGAAGAATATTTCAAATTGGAGATTAAGTAATATCGATCAGTTAAAATAAAACGAATTGCTATATTATTATTAGTTCTCTTATTGCGTTTATATTTTGTAACTCTGACTATCATTGCAAATAAAAAAAGGTTAAGTATAAGTACGAATCTCCTTATATTTCCTGAGAAATAAATGTATATCTATCATGTTTCATTTCTATTTTATTTTCTGTTTTAAATATAATGTATATTGTGTAGGTCTATTATTTTTCGAAGGTTCCGAACTTATTGCATCAGTGTATGTACACCAGTTCAGAACTTACAGTGGAAAAAGAACAGACCTTATGCAATAAAGTAGAAAAAGAGAAAAGGTTACAACAGAGAGAAGAGGTGAGATGGAATATCAATGCCTTGATTGGTTACATACCTCGCTCGCGCATGTGCAGTTCTTTTTTATCCACGCTGACATCAAAGGTGCCGACAGAGAGTTGCGCTACTGTATATACTGTGCTACAGTCGAGCATTCCCCTGTTACAGTCGAATTACAGGGGAATGTTTGATTGTAATTGGTTGGTTCTTGCATTCTGACCCGGTTCGAACCTTCGGTGGAAACTAGGCCACTAGATGCATCCAAAAGCACCACTCAATGGGTGCATTCAGTACTGCAACCGCTCACTGAGCGCTTAGTGAGCGCTTGCATCTTATTGGTATATGGCTCAGTGAGCGGTCGTGGTACTGAATGCACCCATTGAGCGCTCAGTGAGCTCTTGTATCTGTTTGGTGTATACTTTTAGTTCTAACGGAATATACCAATAAGATGCAAGAGCTCACTGAACGCTTATGGTTCCTGCACATTGGACGCAGAAACGCTTGCCGCGCGGCAAAATGTGACGCGGTAGCCAGCTTATTGGCATAAGCTTACAGCTCCTAACATGTTCATTGGTTACCGCGTCGCATTTTGCCGCGCGGTAAGTCCGGATCTACAATAGGTGTTTCAAGTCTTAAGCCATAAGAAATTGACCAATTACAATCGAATTCGAGGAGAATAATCGACTGTGATTCGCCCATTTCTTATGGCTTAAGGCTTAAAACCCTATTGTAGATCCGGAGTAAAGGGCATCACACGTACAAAAATTTTAGTCGGAATCGTAAGGTCACAAACAAATCGACCAATCACAATCAAAATTAAGATCTCGCGCTTTTAAATGCTCGACTGTGATTGGCCGATTTGCCTACGGCCTTACAATTACGTCTAAAATTTTTGTACGTGTGATGGCCTTAAGTCCGGATCTACAATAGGTGTTTTAAGACTTAATCCGTAAGAAACTGACCAATTATAGTCTAATCCGAGGGGAATAATCGACTGTGTTCACCCATTTCTTATTAAGGCTTAAAACCCTATTGTAGATCCGGGGTAAGGCCGGAATCAGACTACGTATTGAAGATTAAGATTGAAGATTAAAGATGGAAATTTGACCAATTAAAACAATAGGAGCTAAAATTCCTTTCTCTAAATTTCCTCACTGGTCAAATTTTAATCTTCAATCTTCAATCTCAATCTTCAATGCCTAGTCTGATTGCGGCCTAATGCGGGACCTACAATAGAAGTCGTAGCGGTCGTAGAGTCTTAAGTCGTAGAAAATTGACCGATTACAGTTGATTCTTGAAATTAAAAAAAATATTATTGCATTACTCAGATAAATAATTCTGTATGTTACGTAGAAGAATTTCATATGGTTTAATCTATGGAGTATTCCAACTGTTTGGAATGAAGTAATTTTAAAGTCATCTGTGATTGCTTGTTTGTAAATTAAAACAGAAATGTTTGAAGATAAGATATTGTATAATTGCAGGTACGATTGCAGTATTATGTTCTTACATTCAAGAAACATTGAAAAAAATGATAATTGTGAAGCATATATATCTACTGTT